CAACACCATTCATAGTGGGCGAACCCGACATAGTGTACTGTGGGACGATACCGCATTCCTCTAGGAATTTAGCAAACGGTCCTGGACGTTGTTCACCTGAACCATCATATCGACCGTAGTATTCACCACCACGATCAGATCTAACAGTGTTAATCCTTTTGTTGAGTTGATTCTCAACTTCAGCCTTATAGGATTTGAACACGTCCAATGACTGTGATTTTTCATGAATGATATATATGAAGCCATATGGATCTTGAATAATCTTCTATGAACGTTATAAAATATTGTTGACCATTCCAAGCAACTGTAGGAAATGGCCCACAAATGTCCGTATGTATAAGTTCTAAGACGTATGAAGTCCTATTGGCTTCAAATCTCCTTTTATTGGTTTGTTTTCCCTTAATACAGTTGACACAAATGTCAAAATCTGTAAAGTCTAAGGGGTTGAGAATATCGTCAGACACAAGTCTCTCTATTCTCCGTTTGGAGATATGACCTAATCTCTTGTGCCACAACGTAGCTGAATTCTCATAGGTTAATTTTCTTTTCACACCACATGTATTTATATGCAGAGATTCATTGAATGAAGCAATAGTATCTAGTAAATAAAGATTATCATAACCTGATAAACAACCAGAACCAACCAATTTTGAATCATGAAACAAACTGAATTTTCCACTTCCAAATGAACAAGAATAACCGAATTTGTCCAAATCAGAAATAGAAATCAAATTTCGTCTAAAAGACGGAACAACAAATGTCTCATCAAGATCCAAATAATATCCAGTCTTTAATAATAATCTAAACTTTCCAATTGCTTCAACTTCAACTGTCTTGCCGTCACCCACATAGATGTATCTTTCACCATCACTTGGTTTTCGGCAATAGAGGCAACCCTGCATGGACACACCGATGTGAGTTGTGGCACCAGAATCTATCCACCACGTGTGTCCAGTAACCGAAGTTAGATTAACCTTAGAACAAACCAAATTAAACAGCATACCTTTCTTAGCACGCCAAGCGTGGTAGTTGGCACACTGCTTCTTTGTATGCCCTTCAGCCTTACAAAAGAAACAACCTGAAGTGGTGTCAGAATTGACATCATTAGACACACTAGGTGTCGGATGTTGTTTCTTTTGTGGGAATGTATTTGCAGCTTCCTTATCTTTATTCCACTTTATTCCCCTGCCCTTATTTTTGGAAGTATAGGCAATATTAGAGCTTTCTGCCTTATCTTGCTTCAATCTTTCCTCTTCTTGGACATAGTATGAGATGAGCTCGTTCAGAGACCAAGTCTCCTTCTGACAGTTATAGCTCACCTTAAGCTGGTTAAATTGTCCAGGAAGAGACAACAAAACCAAATGCACTAGCAATCCCTCAGAGAGTTCAAGCTTAAGTGCTCTTAATTTTGAAGCAGTATGAGACATCTCCATAATGTATTCTCTAATATTACCTTTACCACCATACCTCATTGAGATAATATTTGCAAAAAGCGTACCAATTTCAGCCTTTTCGTTCTTGACAAACCTTTTCTCAATATCTGCAAGGAATTCCTTAGCAGTAACGATATTTTCAGACATAGTGCCCCTGAATGCTTCCGGAATGGCTTTCTTTATGATCATCATACACATGCGATTCGATTTCTCCCACCTTTCAAAGTCCCTCTTTTCATCTGAAGTATTGTTATCCGTAAGAGGAGGTGGAGAATCAGTCCTTATCGCAAGGTCGAGATCCATGACATCGAGAACTATTAAAAGATTCTCTTGCCATGCCTTAAAGTTTGAGCCATTTAGCATAGGAATGGAGTTGATGCTGGCAGTTATATTAGCAGAAGTAGACATAACTGAATCCAAAGAAAAATAAACTTATCATGCTCTTAGAATTAAAATTATAAATTCAAATAAAGGTAACCCCATCTCAAGGCATTGTAAATCCATTAATATTTTATCTTTGGACAAAATATTAACTTGTAATTGACATCTTGATGCAGTAATCAAACATTGACAATGAGAACATATCAAACAACAAATCTTCCTTTGGGCCGACTTATTGTTCACATGTATAACCAAATAATCATTTACATTTATTACCGCAATAGCACAAGTAATTCTAACGAGTACTCCCCTTCCTTTGGGCCGGTTAATATTCACTCAAATTACATGTACCCATATCCTTTTGTATTTCTAAACAAATTAATTTCCACAAAAGAGGTCGCTTCGGTGACATGTTGCTTCAATTAATCTATCTCAAAATATATAAAACTTTATACCAATATTCGAATCCGAAATTTAAAATTCTAAGACCGAAAAATAGACTTTAAAGGTTTAACCTTTATACACCGTAAACCCGTGCAAATGATCATACAACACCAAGTGCAGAGAGGTTTGAATACACAAAATCCAATTTGTACCAAAACTGTATATCATCCAAATTGAATCAAGTACAAGTTGCAAGCCCAATTATCATGTTCCATTTGATTTGCAATTAGGAATAAATAGATCAAAAATTGAGTACCACAAACTGAATAATTTCCCCATTACTGTGGGCCCAAAAACACACTCAATCTGAATCCAATTCCACTCAATTCAAGCAACAGAAACTGATTGGAATCGTACAAAACTAATGAGCATATACTTACTGTAGTGCCTTTCTGAACAAATAATTGATGTGCAAACTCATGTTTCAACTATTTATTAATTCTGAATGCTAAAAGCAAATAAATTCGACTGAATCCATCCGAAATCAATCACACGCATAACTAAATTCATGCGAATCAAAATAAATTGATTCCCTAAAAATTAAATATGAAGAGGCTCTGATACCACTTGTTAGAATTAACTTTAGGCAAAATACATCGCTTTAGTCCAGGAGCTTTCATATCGAATAATTGAGAATCAAAACTGAATAGCAGAAGCGTACCTGAATCCATAGGTGATTGATTTGGGGATTTGTCCTTCGGTCTATACGATCGTGTACCTTTTCAGAGAACCCTTTAGCTTTTCTCCGTAACGTCTCTGTCGATGGGATTCAGAAGAGATAATCTGTCGGTGTCGTATGACCTAGGGACCACAACCCTTTTATGTACATTAAGTTACATCGGGCATCTCTATTTTAGCCCATCATTAAAACAGAAGACCCATTAGTTTCTACACATTAAAGGCCCACACCCTTTTGATACTTTAAAGCCCAATAACTTTAAAACTTAATTGATCACTTTTATTTAGGCTTCTTTATACCACAATACAATAATTATTTCACATATTAGCCCAATATTGGATTAAGGATCCAACAATCTCCCACTTGGGCTATATGCATAACTTTATAATTATGTATTACGAAATAACTTTATGAGCTCGAATTTGTTGTCATAACCAAAAGTATCATTAACCAATCCGGTCCATCAATCACATCAACATAGGATCAAAGCGGCATTTATTTGGGCTTCTTTATTTGACAACCACAATACAATAATTATTTCACATATTAGCCCAATGTTGGATTAAGGATCCAACAACATAAACTTACCAATCCGACGCTGAATTCATCCTCATGTATTTTTGAAAGATAGTCAGTCTATTTCAAGTTATATAGAATGATTATTATTAATTTGAATTAAAATATATTTTTATTCATACTTTATGAATATAATCAAACCTTAAATGGGTTGCCCAGTTCACCAAACCGTGGAACCAAAATAGGATCAGCTGTTATTCGAGAAATGATAAATGGACCACAATATGATCCAAATTGATTCTTTTTCTTTGCAATCTTAAAAAGAAGTGATTTATCATTCAGTTGATCAACTTCTTCTGGCAGCTCTAGACCATCATCTTGCTGAAAAATTAAAAAAATATATATATATCAAATTGTTAATTAGTTTACATAAAGTTGATAAAGTTCTCATAAAATATACAAAAATTGTCAATAGCTTCAACATATTGTTCACAACTTCATCGCAAGTTTTCCTAATCAATTCTTGGGCTATGTTATCCCAGCACAGAAGTCCAATAATTCCGGTGTTGTCCGCAACAGAGATATGCAACTTGTACCTTCATATAAAAGTAGCAATATATGAATATAAAAAATTTAAAATATGTTCACTTAATTATTTAAGAAAAAAAATAATAACACACTTTCAGATTGAAGGAAATACCTAAGTATTGAAAAGGGAACATCATGCTTGCAGTAGTTGCACCAAAATTGTGCACCTTTGTGTTCAACTTTTCGAACACATGTTGGGCATGATTTAAAAAACCAATCCCCGGCGATGTCAATTATGGTCCCGTGAATCCAAAACAACTTTTGCTGAAATATGTAAAATAAATACATATAAAATTTAGTGAATAACAATATTTTTATAATATAATATAATATAATGGTGATAAATAAATAAGAAGTACCTCTTTGGAAGCAATAAAGTCCGCCACATTTGTTATGGGAGCACTTCCGGATTCCAAGTCCTCACACACGTTGGACAAAAAGGATCTCACAATTTGGCTCGAAGAATTCTTTGGTCGTATGTGGGAGTTATACCTATCAAGTTAACAAAAATAATGAGTTGATTATTAAAAATAAATTGAATGTTTTAAATAAAATTATATAATACATAATGTTTAAATTCATAAAATAGATGACCTTTGTTTAAAGTCCAAGATTTCCGGAATATCGCTTGAAGCGATCATTTTTGTCGTGTTATACGTATTCTCAACTACTATGGATCCTAAAAGAAAGTAGGATGAACGAATTAAATAAAATGAAAAATAAGAATAATAATTGTAAAATATTTTATTAAGTAGGTTCCATTACCATCATCTAAGGTTGTTGCACGGCAAAACTGCATGATAACTACCCTCAAATCGTTGGGAGAACTGTGTCTGTGGGCTTCAAGAAGAATGTCTACATAGCCTTCCCACAATGTGCAGGTCAAGTGGGATCCACTATAAAGATTAGAGAAAGAGTTTAAATAACAAAAAAATGAAATTAGCTGAATAAAAATAATTGAAATAATAACATAATTAGATGAACTTACTCAACATCCTCTAAAACAACTTCAATAAATTTTTTCTCGATGCCGTTTAACCTTGTTGTTCTTACACTTTGGAATAGTGCTACACGGCAAATAATATCTGTAAAATAATAAAAAAATAAATTTATATAGTAAAATATATAGATTATGAAAAAAATATGTTATAAGTTATGAATTTTTACCAAACATCTTGGTGGAATCAATGGTTTGTGGGTTGGTTAGATCGCTGAATTTTTTGAAATTGAACATATATCATGGGTAATTTTCATCAATAATCTCAAAAATATCCGTATCTTCAATAAAAATGAATTTGTGGCTCGATTCAGTGGGTTTGAACTTATTTTCATCCTTCTCCACTTTAAAGGTCTTGATGCCATAAACACGGCCTTCAAGAAGTTTAAAATCATTGAACTTTCCAGTCAAGCAGCCCGGAGCACTACCATGAATCCGCTACCCCTAAAAAATACAAAAATACAGATATATATTAGTATAAAATGAATCAGTTATGAAATTAATAATACAACAATCAATGTAAAAATTAGTTTAACCTTCACGTCATGAAAAATGAAGTCCATCCCTCTGAATTTTTGGTTGTTCTCCCTAGCTGGTCTGCCATAATATCTAACCAATGTCAGTTTGACAGTTTTGTTCTTGTTTTTTGACAAAAATGTGAGGTTGTCGAATTGGAAGACCATTTTTAAAAGTTGATAAAAAAAAAAATCTAAGTTCTTCTTTTTCTAAGATATTTATTAATTGAATGAAATTGGAATGGGGGGTTTGCATTAATGTAGATAGAGCTACTCTTATTCTCGAAAGTAGGGGTTGAATCTTTCAATTTTGGAAATTCTTATTCGAATAGAAATCAATTTTTATTCAAAGTGAATCCACGATTCTCGACAACCAAACCTACTTTTGTTTTGGATTGACCGAGCAAAATCCGTATTCCTTTAGGTCCAAAAGCGATTTTTGGTTTGTAAATGAAATATTAAGGATTTTTTTTTGCATTTTTTAGTTGAGATGAATTCGAAGAAATTGGTCGAATTGTGTAATCGTCAATTATTGGCGCCGATAACCGCCCTAAAGCAATTTGATTATAATTCAATTCATGACGATCATAAGTAGAAAGTTCATATTCTTCAGAGAGAAATTTTAAGTAAATGATTTGAGCTTGTGATTTTGTTTGTTGATTGTGGTCTATTTATACTTATGTACAAAGAATACATTAATTCTATTATTCTATATAATAAATGTTCAATTATAATTATTGTAGGAATGATTTTAGGAATTACATTGATTTGGATTAGATGAATTATTATTTTGTTGTCTTTTAAATTTCTTTTAAAATTTGGAATAGCTGAATTGTGTTTATTGAAAATTAATCAAAATGAAATTGGCGTTTCCCGCCAGTGTATTTACAAAGCGAGAAAAACAAATGAAAAAAAATATAAAATTTTAAGGGAAGTCAATTTTCTCTCTGAAAAAAAAGAATGTCAAAGATATTTAATATTTTGCACTATTAATTAGTTGATTTGTTTTTTTTTTATTTTTTGCTGATTTATTTATACAATGTAAAGGGGCTTTTTTTTGCTGATTTTTTACCTTTTATTATGACAATTTTTAATATAGTATTATTATATGCTAATTTTGGTATAATATATATTTATTTATAACATGAAAAATTATTAATTTTATTGTAATTGTAATTGTAATGTTTATTAATTTTATTGTAATTGTAATTGTAATTGTAATTGTAATTGTAATGTTTAATTTTATCATGATCACTAATCTTTGTTATATTTTGCAGGAAATCATTGGATGGAGTATAGCTGGAATTACATATTATATTGACTATTTTAGTATTTATTGGCTAATGTACTGAACTTTAATCTTAATGTTATGTTATTTGTTTGTTTTGTTTATTTTAAATTTTATATTTTTTTAAGTCAAGCTACAAAAACAGAAAGTTGCTCAAGTAATTAGTGGAAAAAAACTCGTGTATCTCTCTCTCTAAAACTCAAAACCAGAGCGTTGTACTATTCGTCTTCCTTGGCCTCCTCCGGGGCGGCGCGGCCGATTTCGCGGCCGCTCAATCGATCCCATCGGTGTTCCCTTTCGATTTCACCGCTCTTCTGGTCCCCTGCGTCTTCCCCCATTTGTTGGTGCGTGAGGTGCCGGAGGCAATTTCAAGCCGGGTTCTGTTGCGTCCGTTGCTCGGAGTTGCTGCGGGGTTCTGTTTTGGATTTCCTCCGGTCTTCACTAGTTCGGATGTTGTGCTCATGGGAGGTAATGGAGGGTTGATTTGTTTAGGGTTTCGGTTTGGGGCTTTGGCGGGTGGATGCGGATCCGGCTGTGGTAGTGGTGTTGTCTGGGCGTTGCTGTGTGGTGGTCGATTTGGGGCTCTGATGGTCGCCGTGTGTTCGTGGTGGTCGCTGGAGTGGGAGATTGAACTGGGGGCAGCTTTTCCGATTTTTCCACTCCCTTGGAAAGCTCAGGTTCCGGTTCATCTGGGTCCGGCTAGTGGTGTTAATCGGACCTGGGTCGATCTGGTTGGGGCTACTGGGCTTGATCTCCCCGGTTGGTGGGTTCCGACCTTAGGGTTTGGTTCGGGGGCGGGGTCCTGCCTTTTGTTAGGCCTTCGGCAGTTTCGGGGGTTGGGACTTGGCTACGGGCTTTTCCTTAAGTTGGTTGTAGCTGCTTGCTCGGGTTTGTCCGATCTTCGGGGGAGGGCCGTTTTAGTTTTAGTAGTTTTTGTTGGGCCTGTTTGCTTTGTAGGTTGTCTTTTCTTATTTTTTTCAGTTTGTTTTTTGTTTTTGGTTCGGAGATGATTACAGGCTAGGCATTGTGCAGTTGTTCTGTTTTTCATTATCCATTATTTTCGTTTGTGGAGTTCTCTAGGCCGCCATGTGCGTGTCCTCTCAGTCTTCTATTCCAGTTTGTTTAGTAGGGTGTTTTTGGTTTGGGCCGTTGGCCCCTGTCTCATTACCCTGTTGGGGCCTTAGATATTACCCTGTTGGGGTCTTGTAATTTGTTCTTTTTGCACCTTTGTGCTTTTTATATTACTTCTATCGTTTCGGCAAAAAAAAAAAGTCAAGCTACAAAACATAAAATTAAAAACTGAGAAATGAAGTCAGTTTTACAATGTCATTAATTTTCTATATTAATATACCTGTCAGAAAAAGGAAAGAAAAAAAGAAAAAAGAAAATGTTATAATACACGTATCAATAAGGGAAAAAAAGTAACGAAAAAGAAGAAAAAGATGTAAAGGGCATTAACCGAAAACAACTTGCCATTTTGGCCAAAATTTTATGGGCGGGAAATGTAGACTATCTCATTTATTGGATAGTCTACAATTATATATATATATATATATATAGATAGTGATAACTTATAAAGTCTTCATTAATACCAGTAGCGGATCCAGACATTTTTATGAGCCAGGGCAAGAAATAGTTCAAAGAAATTTTTAACCATATTGCACAGAGTACTTATATTAACAATTAAATAAATCGTTGGAACAATTGAGTGTTGAGAAGTTCCCTATTCAATTTGTCTTTGACTTGATGCTAAAAAATAAAATTGAGAATGAGGTCTGGTTATTTTATTTTGGTTATTTTATTTTGCATTTTTATTAATATTAAGAAATACACCAAAAATATTTTACAATCATTTTTCCTTCATTTTTTGTGTAATAGGAAATAAAAAAAGTCATTTTGAAATATAATTTATTAACTTAGAAAAGCCTAAATGTCATTATTTTTGATCATGTTATTTTATAAAGATTTCCTTATAAATTATCTTTTTATATATAAATGTAGAGCTTTTCATTGTCAATTTCCAACGCTTTGTAATTCTATATGTTAATTTCAAAGGATTCGAATTGTCCATATAAATATGGATCTTTATCCAGAACTTTCAAGTTTAAACGCTTGGGTAACAAAAATTGTAAATATATTTTAAAATTTAATAACATTTGTATATATTATCATTTTTTTATATATATGATAACTTAAATTTTGACAATGTATAATTACACATTCATATTTTATATGTAAATTAAAATAATTATATCTAACTTATCTCTATTAATAAAAATTTAAATACTTGTCAATTATAATTGAAAAACAATAAATTTATCTATCAATCTTATTATATGGTATAAGTACTAATAATGTTCTAATATAATATCGTTGAATCCGACTGGTGAAGTGTATCATTTTAAATAAAAACAATTATGTTATTTTGTAGAATTATTTCAAATTTTAAAATAAAATCTTGTATTAATATTTTTATATATATTAAATATAAAATTTTAATTAACTCATATTAATTATGTATAGTTAGCACAAAAAGTTGCCTAGGCTCGCCCTAGTGTAGATCCGCCCTTTAATAGTATATTACATATATTTGTGTCAACTTTGTGTTGTCACAAAAGTGAAGATATAATCAATGACAGAAAATGTCATCGCCCTTATACAAAATAATAAAAAAGGATTTCAACAAAATTAA